AGTCCTCTTATCTTTAGGCCTCTTCCTTCTGAGCTTTGGGGGTGGCTGGGGCTGGCAGTGTCCTGGGAACATAGAATCATGTGGGTGCTTGTCCTTCCCACTGGGAATGGGGGGGCAGGGCAGGCCTTGCCCACTGGCTACCTGGGCCATTCCAGGAATGTCTTGATACCTGGGGAGGAAATACAGTTGGTTGTGGTGCCTCGGACAACAGGTCTGGATGGCACAAGGTGTCTTGCCCACCCTGATGTGCTGAGGACACCCCCCCCCCCCTTCCCACACCTTGCCCTCCAGGGCAGGACTCAACGCTTGTTGTTGCCCACAGGTGTAAGAGGTTCGGAGTGCCCATAGAGAAGATCTACAGCAAGACCCAGAGAGAGCGGTTCGCCTGGGCCTTTGAGCGGGCAGACGAAGACTTTAAATTCTAAGCCGCCCCTTGCCCCTGACACTTTCTCACTGTGAAGCAATGCTGTCGTTTTCTGTAATAAAATTTTTGGGGGACAGTGTCTGTTGTTGCCTAGAACAAAGGCCTCAACAGCCTGTCCTTGGAAGCAAGCACCCTCAGCACATCCTGACCCCCCCCCCCCCACCAGGTGCTTGCAGCCCCCCAGGCTTCTGCTTCTGCTTGAGGAGGGAGCAGAAGAGAGAGGAGGTGCCTGGAGGCTGGGACCCCTGGGACCAATGACTGTAACCATAGCAATCCTCATGGTTACAGCTGTGCCTTATCAGCTCCTACCTCAGCCATGCTTGAGATGGAATCTAGGACTTAAACATGGCAGACACACATTTTACCACTGAGTGTACCCCTGCCCATCTATAGATTTCGGTTTGTGTCTTTCTGCTTCTGTTTCCCAACCTTGTATTCTTCCATTCTGGTCCTTATCCTTGAGTTTCTGTGCCTTCTGTCTTTTTAGCACGTGTTGCCTGGGCTCCTAGCAGCTGTCTGCTCCTCTGTTCCACTGTCGTCCCTGGAGTGTTGTGCCCTACTCCAGGGATCAAAGCAAAGTTCCAGCTTTCCATGTTGAGTCCCTGGCAAGCCCAGAGGACTCCAGAAGAGTGTGGTGGTTGTTGGTGGCTCTCCAGGCCTGGAATGCTGTCACAATGGCTGGTATGTGCCAGAAGCAGCCACAATTAGAGGACTCAGTGAGCAGGTCCAGCTCTTCCACAGTTGCCCTATGCCCTCCCCCCATCCCCAACTCCCGGGCTGCCCATTGGTTGCCAGAGGCGCTGGAGCCCTGCCCTGCCTTGCTCAGTTCCACCCTCTACCCCTCAGTGGCTGCAGACTTTCCACGGTCGGAGGCTATGCCTACTGTCAAGGGGTGATTATGCCCGTGAGTCCACCATGGCACACAGGTGCTACCCACGGTCCCTCTGCTTAGCCAGATGGCTTTGTTGCTGGGCAGCAGTAACCAGGGCCAGTCTAGTCAGCTAGATAAAGGAAAAGGCACACTCTGTGAAAATTGTACACAGCTGCTTGACTGGGTAGAACTTTCTGGAGTGTGACAAATCTAGAACCAGATAATATGCAGCCTCTTCACTGGGGGTGCAAGGGGATGAAGAGGCAAATGCATAAGAACTGAGCCCGCTATGTTTAGAAAATAAGCAGAATCAGTTTTGTAAGGGAACACAATGACAGGCTCCTATACTAGGATGGAGGACAGCATAGCTTGGAGAATGTGGGCACCTCTGGGCAGGCTGACTGTCATCTGCTCCACACACACCCGCCCTCAGGAGCTCCATTCCATGGTATTCTGGCTGTGGGCAGACCTGGCCACTCCTTAGTTTCAGGGCTCAGCCCCAAATGACTCTCAGGGTTCGAGACCCCCAGGAAAAGACCACAGACTCAGTCCAGATTATAATTAGTTAAATTTATTGATACTGCTAGCAGGACAGCAGTCTCTGAGCCAGCTAGAGATTGCTGGGTGAAGGGGGTGAGGGGAGGATTCTTAAGGCAAAACGCACAAGATGACCTTGAGTATCTGCACACGCAAGCCAGGAGCCGTTCTGCTCTGCCAAGATTAGGTAGCCAAGGAGAACTCAAATAGTCCTCGCATGTCTGCATAAGCAGGTCAAGAAGCCAAAGAGCAGTTAGTCATATCATGACGCGTAGATGTCACGGCTGTGCACTTTTGGGTGGAGGTCACTGTGTCAGGGTTACTGGGAACTTATCTTCAGGGACTGGAGTCAGAGACAGTTGGCTGGTGTGTACCAAGATGGATGCCTAGCATAAAAAGGAGTTTTTTAGCCACCACATTCCCCACTGGCTCCTTTAGAAAGAGTTGGGGAACTGAAATTTAGGGCTCCTGGTATCTCTAGTGTTTGACATGTAAAGCAGCCAGACAAAATAAACACCACAGTAAAATCTGGTAATCCTGAAGTCAGCCATCAGATCTCAGCCCCCATCTTGAGTAACCCTTGTTGGTTTGGTTTCTCTGTGTAACCCTGGCTGTCTTGGAACTCTGTAGACCCATCTGCCTCTGCCTCCTGAGTGCTGGGATTAAAGTGAGTTCCCTTTTTGCAACTCTGATTTTAACAGGTCTTTGCAATATCAGAGGATCCTGGAGGCCAGCATCACACAACTTTGGTGTGCTAATAGGCATCATAGGTAGCCATTTGTCCCTTTTGCCAGAGAAGGGAAGTGAGTCCTTTCAGTAGAGGGGAACTAGTTCCTTTTGGATCTAATGTTCCAGCCTTCTGTTAATGAAAGGAATGGTGTACTCTTTACTGTGACTGCTTTTCAGCTAAAATTGGGAGGAAGGCTGGGAAGCTGGTCAAAGGCTGAGGGGGGAGGGTACATCTGGTTTGCTGCCCAGGTTCTGCTGGACCATGTGGAGATACCAAAGTGCAGGTAGTTTTGGAGCAGTCTGGAATGCTTAAGCTGGTAGGAAATTTTGTTAGAAACATCTGCTTTACATCAGATTTCAGTAAGTCCAGGGCTCTTAGTAACTTCGGAGCAGTTTGCAGTCTGTGGTTGACTGGAAATCTGCTGGGACAGATGCAGACTTCAGGTGGGGAAGCTTAAGTGGTTGACGGACGGGAGTACTTATCTGAAGTGTATTTGACAGGCTGATCTAAGGTGAGACTCTGAAGCGCACATGAATTTTTTAAGTTTACAAAAAGATGAAAGTTTTAGGTATATTAGCATCACCATCGTTTGTATTCCATTGAGATCTCCATTGTAGAAAAAGCAGGGCTGTCTGTGAGCAGCTGGAGCAGACCTTTGAGCTATAGCATGAGCCCTCCCTCTGTTCGGAGGGCTGGATGTGTGGTCAGCACAATGAGAAACTCTAAGTCTAAACTCAGAAAGCAACAAAGGACACTTTAAAAACTGAGCTTGTGACGATGATCATAGTAGCAGTGCTTTTCCAGAGCTATGTTAATGTTCTTCAGAACGCCACTGGTTACTGCTAAAACACTGGACTTCTGAAGTCTTAGTGCAACAATAGCATAGCATGAAAGGAATCTGAAACTTTAATAATTTTTATATACTTTACTTTTTGGACTTTACAACTTGCATTTACACACTTTAAATCACTTCCTCAGACCTTGCGGCTTGAGCTTACTCGCCTTAAATGACTTTCTTAGAGCCCCCCACAGTTCATCTGAGCTTTCGGATCCTCAGACCTTACGGTTTGCGTTTCTATACCCTACATCATTTCCCTGGACCTTCGTAACTTTTACAAACTCCAAATACTTTTTCCATCCAGTTATTTACCATGAGACATAGGTAGCTAATTACTGAGAGCACTCATTGAAAAGCAAGTTTTGCTGGGTGGTAGGGCCACACCTGCACAGGCAGATGGATCTCTGAGTTTGAGGCTAGCTTGGTCTACAGAGTGAGCTCCAGGGCAGCCAGGGCTACACAGAGAGCCCTGTCTTTAAAAAAGAAAGAAAGAAAAAAGCAAGTTTTAAAAATAAAGGAATAGTAAAACTTACATTGAAACCCGTTGTGAGAGTTTATCTCTTTTAGTGTGAAGTTTGCCATTTTTCAGGAGATTTAGTAGCTCTAGAAAAAGCAAGGCCTGATTTTTACATATCAAATGGGCTGGCTAGGCAAGTACAGCTGTGTGTGTGTGGCAGGGTGGTCTGAGTGTTTGATGGAGGAAGGTCATTGGTTAATAATCTGCTTGGCCTGATAGGTCAGAACATAGGTTGGTGGAGTAAACAGAACAGGACGCTGGGTAGAAGGAAGTGAGGTCAGACGCCATGCCGCTCCTTTACAGGGCAGGCACAATGAAGCTCTGACCCAGGATGGACGTAGGCTAGAATCTTCCTGGTAAGCGCACCTCATGGTGCTACACACATTAATAGAAATAGGCCAAGCAGTGTTTATATCAATACAATTTGTGTGTTGTTATTTCAGGGCATAAGCTAGCCAGGGGGCCAGGAGCCGGGCAGCAGGAAAGCAGGCCCGCAGCTCCCTTCAACAAGTGGTTGCTGTTGTTGAACTGACAAAGTCAGACATCATCAGAGATCTGATAAGGCTAAATCTGAGCAAGAAGTGTAATTCAAATGACCTCTCTATCAGTTAAAATGACAGTTACTCACACCTGGGTGGTTACCCTAGGCTCCTCCACGATGATCTGGATGGTTTCATTAAGGGCAGAGGTCGGGGTGGTGTCAGACTTTGCTGCCACACCGGGTAGTGTTGTGTAATATTATTTTAACTGGGCAAAGATGGGTTATGTTTGTTTATGTGGCAGAGTATTACTTTAACTGATAAAGATGTGTTACTTTTGTTTATGCTGCATTTGTTTGATTATGTAAAGATGTGTTGAATTTGCTTCACCTTGCCTGCCTAAGGCACCTGATTGGCCTAATAAAGAGCTGAGCAGCCAATAGCGAGGCAGAGAGAGTATAAGTGGGGCTGGCAGCCAGAGAAAATAAATAGGAGGAGAACTCTAGGCTCTAGAAGAAGAAGAGAAGAAGAAAGGAGATGCCCGGGGTCAGCCAGACACAGAGAAAGCAAGAAAGTAAGAAAAGGTAGAAAGCCCCAAGACAAAAGGTAGATAAAGAGAAACAGGTTAATTTAAGTTAAAATAGATAGCCAGAAACATGCCTATGCTAGGCTGAGCATTTAGAAATAATAAGTCTTTGTGTCGTGATTTGAGAGCTGGCTGGTGCTGGTACAGGGTAGCATCAGCTTTAAACTGCCAGGCTCAGATGACTGAGAGACATTCCTGTGGATGAGGAACTTGAGAGACTGGCCTCCCTTGGCAAGGCAAAGTGGGGTAGTCAATTCTCCAGCGTCCTGTTTGTGCATGGTTCAAACAGGATCCTGGAGGCGCGGCAAGGCATGGAACAATTATTTGTGCAGTGGTCGGTGTCCCCATAATCCAGAGGCCTCAGTGCCCCACCACAGTCTTTGGAGGAGACCTTAGGGCTGTTTCTAGGAGCTGGCATTTTTGTCTGGTATGGGAAGTTTTTCTTTATTAAACATCTTAAATGCTATGTTTAACAGATCTCTGAGGGGTTTGAGGCCATCATCTGGTCTATTTGGTTACCTGATTTTAAACAAACTTATTTTTTAGTTACTTTAGGCCTAACCTTGACACAGAAGGTTAAAAAGCTGTCTCTGTAAGTGAATTATACTTTAATTAGCATGACTACAAGCATAGTTCTGGGTACATTAAAGAATTTGGTCATTTAGAGGGTGGCTGACCATTAACCTGCATTCTTAATTATCTTCAGAAGTTTACAAGTTAGCAGTTTTTACAAGATTAGGATTTTATAGTTTTATCCTTGCTTAGTTTTATCCTTAAAGATTTAATTGAGGGGCTGGAGAGATAGCTCAGTGGTTAAGAGCATTGACTGCCCTTCTGGAAGCCCTGGGTTCAATTCCCAGCACCCACATGGGAGCTCACAATTGTCTCTAACTCCAGTTGCAGCGGATTGGACACCATCACACACACATGCAGCAAAACACCAATGCACACAAAATAAAAACAAGCAGGATTTAATTGAAAATCCTTTAGAATCAAAATAAAACTTTAAACCATAAATACAGTCCACAGAGAGATTGGGAGACTTACTTTTCTTTTTTTATCTTTATATCACAGTTTTTTATATGACTCTATTTACTCAAATAGCTAATGCTTAATGAAGTTAGCAAAGACTAGAAGGCTAGACAAATACCTCTAAGTTTCTGTTAAGCTGCGTAGACTTTTATATATTAGAAATTTGAAAATCTTAATCATTAAGTAATTTTTTGCCTGGAATTTTACATTCCCTGCCCAAAAGTCTTTACAGATCCTGAGGGAAAGTTTGCATTATATCAAGAACTCTGACTTTCCATGACCTTGAATGGGGGAACGTTTCCTTGGTAACAAGAACCAAGAAAAGGAGAAGTCAGAGCTAGGCATCTGTAATTACATATAGTCATCCTAATTTTTATATAAATCTTTTATTAAAAATTTAAATAAAAATGTAAATGAGGAACCACAGTAGCAAATAAGTATACCATTTATTGTAAGAAGTTTCTCCTTAAGGGGTGTTAGGCAGTGTCTGGACCTCTGCCTGGTGTGTTCCACAGCATTCCCCCTGCTGCAGAGCTGGGCCCCATCCTTATTCCTAGTTTTTAGCCCATACACCCTGGCTTTCCCAGAAAACCTTGGGGCTTCATGCAACTCAGGGCCTACTGTATAAATTAGGAGGGAGGAGCGACTGGATGCTCAGATGAAGGCCCAGTGACGTCGTTTATCTCTTCCTTTTTGAGGAATAGTAATGGTTTTCAGGACAGGATTTCTCTGTGTAGCCCTGACTGTCCTGGAACTGGTTCTGGAGACCAGGTTGGCCTCAAACTCAGAGTTCTGCTTGCCTCTGCCTCCCGAATGCTGGGATTAAAGTCATCTCTGCACACCTTTAATACTAACGTTCAACATGCCCAGCTCTGATGATTTGAAGCAGGCGTATCTGGAGTTACCAGTGAGAGATTGTAGACAGGGCGTGATTTTACTATATAATCAGTTTGTGTGTGTGTGTGTGTGTGTGCAGATGGAAGCAGACAACCTAAACAGCTTCAGAAGTATCTTTTTATAAAGTCATCAGGTTGCAGAACTTAAGTATCTGTAATCTAGAGGCTGTTACACAGGAAAACTGTAAAAACAAGACTTCTGTGGGAACTCAGAAAACGTTGACATCAGCTTGCTTTTGTTTTTTACAGATTTGATTTTGTTTTTCAAGACAGGGTTTCTCTGTGTAACAGCCCTAGCTGTCCTGGAATTAGCTCTGTAGACCAGGCTAACCTTGAACTCACAAAGACCAGCCTGCCTCTGCCTCCCAAGTGCTGGGATTTAAAGGTGTGTGCCACCACCGCTTGGCTTGTTTTTTACAGATTTTAATTATAATCTGCATTGGGTCTGTAGTCTTTTCCTGGGGGGAGGGTGTCCCAAACTCCATAACATTTGGGGGCTCATTCAGGATTCCTGGAAGACCCCAGACTCAGGGCCAGGTGAGGCCTGGGAAAGCCTGAGACCAAGCCTGTCACAAATTAGAGTCACTAGTTGAGGACAGACCCTAGATGGGGGCAAGTACATTGTGGACTTGGAGGTCTAGGGGAACCCCAGACTGTGACCACTGAGGATTTGTAAAAATTGCCAGCCAACACATATTTGAAACGCAGACCCATTAGTGAGTTGTTCCGTTCTGGAAGTCCTGACATCTGGGGAGACATAGGGGAGATCAGATGTGATCATGGACCCAGTCTCCAGGGACAGAATGGGAGATGCCCTCCTGTCCCCCTGGTTCTAGCACATGAGTGAAGATGGCCACCACATGTCTGTGTTTCTCTGGTCTCCACTTGGACGTTCTGACTTTTTTAATGTTGTTTGGTGGATCTGTGTTTTCTGGCATGTGTTGGAGTTTTGTTGCAGACATGGGAAACCAAACCACACAGATTCTCCCTCCCCACAGATTCTCACTTCTGGAGCTTGGTTTCCCTGATCCCTTCAGGGGCTTGCGCTGTCTCTCGCTTGGCTTCTGTTGTCTCTAACCTTGGCTAACCACTTGCCTTTCCTCATCTCGCCCCAGGAGCTGCCTGCCCTTTCTGTCCTCGCCTGCTCGTAGTAGTCTGCTACTTCAGTCCCACAGGTACAACAGGTTTATTTATTGAAACTGCTAGCAGGACAGCAATCTCTGAGCTAGACTAGAGACTGCTGGGTGAAGGGGGTGAGGGGAGGATTCTTAAGGCAAAACCCACAAAAAGACCTTGAGTATCTGCACAAGCCAGCCAGGAGCCGTTCTGCTCTGCCAAGATTAGGTAGCCAAGGAGAACTCAAATAGTCCTTGCATGTCTGCATAAGCAGGTCACAGAAGCCAAAGAGCAGTTAGTCATATCATGACGCGTAGATGTCACGGCTGTGCACTTTTGGGTGGAGGTCACTGTGTCAGGGTTACTGGGAACTTATCTTTAGGGACTGGAGTCAGAGACAAATGGCTGGTGGGTATCAAGATGGATGCCTAGCACAAAACAGTTTCTTTAGCCACCATACTTGGACACAGGACATGTCCTGCCATGTACCGGTAAAGCATCCCCATCAAGAGGAGCAGGTTCACCCACATATTTATTGGGATGTGCACTACTCATGGTAGTGCACCCTCTGGTGCTGGATGAGCTGGGAGCTCTGGCCAAAAGCCTTGCCACAGGTGCCACAGGCAAAGGGCTTCTCACCCGTGTGAGTCCGTAGGTGCCGGAAGAAGTGTGACCGACCTCGGAAGGCCTTGCCGCAATCTTCGCACTTGTAGGGCTTCTCGCCGGTGTGAATGCGCTGGTGTTCGATGAGCACGGAGCTCCAGATGAAGGCCTTGCCGCACTGGCTGCAGACATATGGCTTCTCCCCGGTGTGCAGCCGCTGGTGCCGCACCAGGTTGGAGCTCTGGCTGAAGGCATGGCCACACTCACCGCACTTGTAGGGCTTCTCGCCGTTGTGGATGCGCAGGTGCTGTGTGAAGTGTGAGCTGTGGCTGAAGGCCTGGCCGCACTGGCTGCACTCATAGGGCTTCTCCCCGGTGTGGATGCGGTGGTGCTGCATGAAGCCCCACCAGCTCCCGAAGCGCTTGCTGCATTCGCGGCAGGCGTAAGGCTTCTCCCCGGTGTGGATGCGCTGGTGCTTCAGCAGCAGAGAGTTGTACTTGAAGCTCTTGCCACAGGCCTCGCAGCGGTGTGGCTTGGTGCCCCGTGGGCCGGCCGGCCGGCAGCTGCGCCCCAAACTACTGCCCAGCTCAGCAGCCTTCTTGGTGCTGTCCTCGGTCCCTTGGGCTCCCTGTGGCACGAGCACCATGTGCCAAGTGTCCCTTTTCTGAGAGCAGGGCAGGGTCCCTGGAGGCAGGCCTGCTGACTGCTCCACGGTACATTCCTCGCCAAAGCTGTCCCCACACTTAGACATGCTGGGGAGGCTCTTCAAGAGGCCCCTCAGAGCCCTTCCATCTGAGGCCAGGCCATCTCCAGGACTGTGGGCACTGAGAGAGGCTGGAGTCTTCTTAGGCTCCCACTCAGAGTCTGAAAGGAGAAATGGCAGATGGCTCCCAGCCTCACCCCTACTGTGGCATTCTAAGAGCTGAGGCCAGGGAAAGCCTGAATGGGGACTATTCAGAGGAGGGAGAGGCTGGTTGGTGAGAGTGTGCCTAAGGTGAGGGATGGGGGTGGGCCAGAAGACTTATAAAGCCGGTTTCAGGTGCAGCTGGGCCCCTTCAGCTGGAGGCCCTGAGCCTGGGCAGGAGCCTCTCCGGTGGTTCACTACACCTGTGATGCCTCTCTTAGCTGGGAGAAGGAAGTACAGGTTGCTACTAAGGGTTAGCAAGGACCTGGAACTTACAGAGCTCTGACAAGTAGTCCTTCAGGCTGAAATGCTGACCCCACAAACCTCAGGTGATGGCAGTGTCTGAGGCCGCTCTGCCAAAGGGATGGAGTCTGGATGATCCTAGGATTCACTTTTCCTATGGAACTGACCATGGCCTCAGTATCACAGACACAGCCAAAGCCCTGTCCACCCAGCCTCTGTGGGCAGACAAAACTGGGAGCGAGGCTTAAGCAGAGTCCCAGCAGGATGGCCCTGACCCTCAGCAGGTCCAGGGAAGTGATGAGGGTTACATCCAGTTGGGGTCTCCCAAGGCTGCCTAGGGTGGGACAGGGGCTGCTCACTCACCAAGCCAGGTGTCTCTGCTGACCTCCACTTCCTCTATGTCTTGAAGGTCCAGGTCTGCTGCCTCGGGACTGGAACAGGGGGATCCTGGAGGCAGGGGACCAAGGCTCATGCCCCACTCTCCAGAGGGTGGCGTTCCTGACCCTTCCCTCTTTCCTGTACCCCAGAGTAGGACTCCAAGGCTCTAGGGCCAAGACCCTGACACATAGGACACCCCTCACCTACCCAGCATCTTCCTGTGCCCTAAAAGAGAAGATCAGCCCAATGTAGTGCTAATGCCCTGGCTTCCCCATTGAGGGAGCCCTCCGGAGGCCTGGCTTTGGAACTCATCCTCCCTCAGTTCTGTAGGTGAGCACAAGTGGTCCAGACGGCTCCTGTGCTCATCCCATGCTGGCTGGTGTCCTGGCCGACTCTGGTCTGGCTTCCTGCCCACCCTCAGTGCTCACTGCACTTGGTCCTGAAGCTGCCCCAAGGACCCATCTTCTCCCTTCTCAGCACCAGCCAGCAGTGGCTCCTGGTCTGTGTCTGCAAGTTCAGAGCAGTCCTAGGACTGTTTGTCCCCTACAGCCAAGCCAGGCCTCCTGCTTGGAGAAGGTTAGCCAGGGTGGTTTGGAGCCTTTGCTGTAGGTCCCTGGCACAGGGACCCATATGTATTGTTTGCTTATGTTTTTCCTGTGTTCCTCACCTCACACTACTCCCAAAGGAAAGGACCCTGAAATGACTGTGTGCGAAGGTGACTCTGCAGACTGCTGGGACCTAGATGTCCTGGATGGGCCTCTTTGGGTGCCCAAGGTTCCTAAGAGTCCTGAGAACTGCAGGCAGGTTTCAGAACATTAGATCTTCTCTGGTAAAGAATCTGGAATGAGCCTGGAGTGGTCTAACACATGGTAATCCCAGAGACTCAGGAGGCTGAGGTAGGGAGACCTCAAGTTTAAGGCTCGCCTGGGCAACACTGTGAGATCTCTGCCTCAATGAAAACAAAAGACACCAAACAGAAAATGGAATCCATGGGCCTCCAAGCACTGAAGCAGCAGCAGAACAGGAGCTCGGGCTCAGTTCTACCTGCACTTGCTGGCAGCTAGGAAGCAGGCAGAGAGCCCACCTATCCCTGCATATCTGGGCAAGGGATGACTGCCATTCCCTCATCTGCCTCTGACCCTCAGGGCCTTCCCAAGCTCCACTAGGACTTGGTATAAAAAAAAAATCTCTTCCACCAACTATACCTTACCCAGAATCCACGTTTGCCCCTTTGGGTCCCTGTTGTTCACAGGCCCACCAGGAACAGCACAGTACTGTAAGGCCCTGTCCAAGAATTGTCCTTGTGACAAGCAGAAGAGTCCTGGAGCCAGGCAGCAAACAGGACAGGGCTTGGGGCTCCTATCTGGTCTTGGGTTGACCACTGTGGGTCCTGAGGGAAGTGAGATCTCTGTCCTTATCTGTGAGTGCCCATCCATAAGCTGCGGTTGGTCTCTGGCATCACCTAAGAGCCTGGCCCAGAACACAGCTGCCTGCCCTCCATAAACTTCAGCTTCACTGGATCAGCCACCACAATTCTAGACCTGCAGGAAGAGCTGGTCCCACATGGGCTCTTATCTTCACTGGCCCTACCTCATGGGAGCAGTGCGGCTTCCTATGAGCCTCAGGGATGAAGCCTCTGGACGATATGACCCCAAGACCTGAGGTGTGCTCAGTGGTATGACAGGGTCAGGACCCCTTCTTACTTTGGCTTTACCAGTTGACTGATGAGGCCACCCCATTGGCATGAAGCAAGGGCCGCAGCTCTGTCCCTGCAAGTCCTGAGGCAAACTCATCCAAACTGGCCAGACAAGAGTCCTGTCTCTCTTCCTGACCTGGAACATGATGTCAGAGGGAAATCTTCTCTTCCTAGCACAGGGCCCATGCTGAGGCCACTGTTCCTTCTATACTGAGGAAGAAACATCCAGTGGGCTGTTCCCAGGGAGTTAGAACATGGTCACAAACACTGCTGCAGACCATCACTCCCTTAGGGCTTTTCCCAGAGGCCCCAGCACTGAAAGAGCTACCCAAGTGGGCCCTCTCTTCCTTGGTTGGGCAAGACCCAGGTCAGCCCAGTCTCATGGGGGTAGAGGTAGGGCAGAGGGGCATAGAAGTCTGGGGCAAATACCGTGAGGATGCACATGGTGCTGGTCTCCAGGTGTCCCTGGTGATGACAGACTGCTGGGTGACAAGACAGGAGTGGACTCCTCAACATCCTCTAAGGTTGCCATCTTCCTGAGACCTGCTCAAGGAGTATGCACCTGGGACCTAAGGAAAATCAAAGCCAAGGTAGACGAGAGGATGGAGGCTGTGGGTGGAGAAGAACATCACGTCTGCTTTCTGAGCAGCCCTACGTGATTCTTAGCTTCTCTACTTAGCACAAGAAGGTTACCAAGAAAAGGCAGGTGAACTCCTGGGGAGCTGCAGGGCCCAGTACAAGGGGCCTGCTTGCTTATTCGGTGAGAAACCCTCATTGGTCCTAGAAGCATCATCAGCAAGTCAGAGTGGCCTAGAAGCTCTTCTCAATAAAGTATCCTAAATGTTCTTCCCAACATCGCCTGCAGAGAAAAGCTTGCTTATTCTTCCAGAGAGTGTTCCTGCACCACAGTTGGGGCTTTGAGATTATGAGGCATGAGAACTCTATATCTTTTTTATTTTTAAACTCTAATTTTTAAAGGAGCGACTCATGAAAATAGGAAGGGATACATTCCCAGAGGGAAAACTTTTCCTCAGATCCTAAAGACCCTGAGGTTGTAATTCCCAAGCCCAGATTTCCCACAGCACCATCCACAGGTGTGTGTGTGTGTGTGTGTGTTAAAGGCATATTGGCTGAATGCTTGCTTAGCATGCGTGACGCCTTGAGCCTATCATGATTAGTCCCCAGCACCACAAAAACTGTGTGTGGTGGAGCACGCCTCTAACTCCCGCAGTTTGGGAGGTAAAGGCAGCAGTTTGAGGGCATCCTTGGTTACACAGCAAGTTCAAGGCCAGCCTGAGCTACAGGACTCGAGAAAATTTAAAAAGGGAAGATTTTTTTCCTTAACTTGGTTTGCCATAAACGAATGAAGCCCAAAGAGAGAGGCCGGGTGTTCTTCCACAGTAACACGGGCAGAAAGGATGACAGGGAACACAATATGGGGCGAGGAGCAGCAGCACCCGCATGGAGAAGGCGGAGGCGCTGGGTGCCGGCGCGGGGCGGACGCTGTGGCACCATCCTGCCGGGTTCCCCAGGTTGAAACCACGCAAGGTCAGGGGTCGGAGCTGACCGGAATCTTGGCAGAGGAAGCAAGCGGAGAACCGCGCGGATCGTACGGGTCCGGGATGGACCCACTGGGAGGGGCGATCACTCACCTTGAGAGCGGGAGGAGACCGCCCGCGCGTTGGCCGGAAGTGCTCCGCCTCCAGGAGTCCCCGCCCCCAATTCCGGGACGCTCTGGACCCGGGAGGACCTCGCCTTGGTGGTCTCTGGGGGGCTCAAATCCTTTATTCTGTGTAGCTTCTCCTCGGATGGTTTCTGCTCTGTGGCCCAATAAAGACCCGTCTGGAGAATCTTTTCAAACCAGCCGAAAAGCCCGGCAGAGACCCTCGTCTCCGCGCGAGAAAGAAGCGTCAGAGCCCGTGCGTTGGGCTGCGGAGGATTTCGTATCTGTACTGGAATTGGCCCCAACCAGGACCTCACACGTTGTTTGAGACTGCAGCTGACCTTACACACAGCCTTGCAGACTTTGTCAGGGGTGCGTCCTCGCATGTGGTTGTAAGAATTCTCGCTGCGATTTCGTAACCAGCAGCAGCATCAGGACCGAGGAACCTGCTGTCCCTTGTGACTGAGCTATTGCCAGTTATGGAGTTCGAGATCACGAGGGAAAAGACCTCCAGACTTAATTCAAATTATAATTAAGCATTTTTTCCCCCCGAGACAGGGTTTCTCTGTATAACAGAGTCCTAGCTGCCCTGGAACTCGCTTCGTAGACCAGGCTGACCTCGAATTCACAGAGATCCATCTGCCTGCCTCTGCCTCCCAAGCGCTGAGATTAAAGGCATGTACCACCACAACCGGCTCCAAGCAAAACATTTTAATGCTGCTAGCAGGGCCTCAGTGTCTAACCTAAATCAGAGACGTGCTGCCCAGAAGCGGGCACAGTAAGAAGGGATTTAAAAGAGAAAAACCACAAGAGCTAAGTCTTGTTCTGCCAGGATTTGATTAGATGGTCAGAGTGACTTCAAAATAGTCCTTGAATGTCTGTATAAGCACATTACAGAAGCCAAACCAGCAGTTAGTCATACCATAGCAGGCCGATGGGGGAAGGGGTGTCAAGGAGTCAGGGTTGTCAGACAAACAGCTATTAGGTTGGATGCCTATCACAAAATGGAGTTTCTTTATCCATCACACCAGGCACTTGTGATCCCTGAGGTTAAAGTGCGAGGGTCTCCACTCCCAGAGAGATTCCCCGGAGAGATATTAATCTCACAGCCTTCACACTCAGATGGTTGATGCAGAACCTCCAGGCTTGGTGCTTGGATTTACAGCCTTAAATTGCAAAGTAGTAGGAAAGGCCCCAGCTGGGTTTGTTAGGTTAGAAAAATGGGACACACTCCCTTTGTCCACTCAGCAGAACGCTACCCAGCTGGATTTGATCCCAGCTGGGCCCCTCGGATGTGTTTGGGAGTGCAGCGCGGGTTCCATCTCACCCAGCCGTCACATGAACTCCCTAAGCTTCCCCAGGCAGGAGGGCTAGTTAACTCCAGAATCCCTTACATGAGGTTCTGGGAACCCTTCCTGTACACACGACTGGTCAGTGTGTAACAGGCCTCCAGACCTTAGCACAACTGAGTCCGTGATGGAAGTACCATTTCAGAACACAAACTTAAGTACATAGACACTACCCACCTGCCAAAACAAAAGCAAAGATCTAATCCACCAAAGGCCATGCTTCTGGGAAAGTCTCTATTTAAATGCACTAACTTTGCTTTTTGGCTTCTGTAGTTCGGCCTCTGGCTTCTTGTTAACTGAAGTGTGTCAACCCAGAACACGGCTTTTGTGCTTAAAAGCCCATCCCGAGAAAGACACAGGCTACCCTGGAATCCTGAACCCCCAGTGTAGTCATCAGGTTATTGGCTTAAACCATCTTCAAGCAGTCTTCCCGGGTGGATACACCACCACATTTCCGGAGGTCCTACAGAGATTCCCAGGGACCAGGCCTAGAAACATTGGGGGTCTCAGATCCCCTCAGAGCCGAAAAGAGTGCAGTGACCAAGGAGCTCCTACAGGATGGGAAACCTGAGATGTCCCAGGTCCCCAGGACTCCCTTTGATCAGTCCCTGCCTAAGGCTGTCACTGGTCTGTCACCTCTGGGGTAAAACTGGTTAAGAAGCTTCTGTTTGGACATATAGGAAAGGTCGGATGTGGCTGTACCCAGGATCCATGTGAGACATCACTGGATTCCTCCTGGCTGTTCAAGCGTATGAATGTGTGGTGGCTACCCCTGGTTGTCTTTACTGTGTGTCTGTGTGTGTTTGTCTGCCTTTCCATTGTTTCTGACAGTTCTGTTTCCCCACGTTGACCAGTGGCTTTGTCTGTTGTAAGACACACACACACACACACACACACACACACACACACACACACCTTAAGAACTGTGCCTCTTGTCGGGGACCCAATCCTTTTGGTTCTGCCAGGTTGCCCAGAGAAACCAAAACCAAAACCAAAACAAAACAAACAAAACAAGAAAACAAACAAAAACCAAACCCTCCGTCTGTCCCACTTCCAGAGCACCGGCTGGTTTGTTTCATCCTTGAGTCCTGCTCAGGATATCCCTGCAGAGGTAGGGAGGGCCTACCCCCCATCCAGGGCCCCCTGCCGTCAAAGCAGCAAGCACATAGGGAGGGGGAGATAGTTTCCCTGAGGTACTTTCCCTCTACTCCCCAACCTCCTCCTCCGCCTCCTCCTCTTCTTCTTCTTCTTCTTTTTTGATTTTTGAGACAGGGTTTCTCCATAGCTTTTTGGTTCCTGTCCTGGAACTAGCTCTTGTAGACCAGGCTGGCCTCAAACTCACAGAGATCCGACCGCCTCTGCCTCCCGAGTGCTGGGATTAAAGGCATGCGCCACCATACCCGGTTTCCCCAAACTCTTCTAAGCAGCCCAGAGAAAAGGTAAAAAACGAAGCTCCACTCCTTCCTCTTTCATGATTTAAGTCTCCATTTCAACCAAAAATCATCATTCTCTGGAAAAAAAAAAGACTGTTCCCAGGCTGGGAGCAATGGGTGGGGGCCAGTGACTGCTGGACAATGCAGCCTGGTAAAGCAGATTTTTCCCTTCTGTTCAACACTGATCAAGGATATTTTAAACACTGTTCACCAGGTCCTTTTGTTTTGGTTTTTATTTTGTTTTTTCGCAACAGGCTTTCTCTGTGTAACAATCCTGGCTGTCCTGGAACTTGCTTTGTGGACTAGGCTGGCCTCGAACTCACAGAGATTTCCTGCCTTTGCCTCCTGAGTTCTGGGATTAAAGGTGTGCACCACCACCACTAGGCATCCAGGTCCTCTTTAGGAGGAGTAAAAACAGTTGCTGAAAATATTTCCTTTGTCATCTAGTCAGCCCCAGATATTAGATAATATAGTATTATATATTAGTTAATATACAAGTTAAGAAATTTAGCCATGGGTGGTGGCCTATGCCTTTAATCCCAGCACTCGGGAGGCAGAGGTAGGCAGATCTCTGTGAGTTCGAGGCCAGCCTGGTCTACAGAATGAGTTCCAGGACTGGCTCCATTGCTACTGAGAAACCCTGTCTCGAAACACCCCCCTGCCCACACACACACACACAAAAACAATTTAAAAATGTAAAGGTATAAATAGGTCCCAGTTGTTGGAGGAAGCTCAAAGGTGTTTAACAACAGAGAACTGATTGAGAGACAAGACCTTTGTGTGAACTGAAAGCCACTGTCACCTTCTCGGATGATGAGACACAGACTTACAGATTCTGCCAGAAGAATATCTCCTAGCGGAAAGTCCTGTCCCCAGACAAAGGATATAGCTCTCGGGTTTACAATTCCTGGGGATATGGGCAGAAACCAACCCACCAGGACTGGCCCAGCATCAAGTTCCTTATAATTGCTCAATTAATCAGTTTAGCTACTCTCTGCAATACCCAATGACCCTGGAAACAAAAAGGGAAGCTGTGGTCCACATTGCCAGGCTTAGAGAGACAGGCCCTGCCAGTCACCCTGAAATACACCGCTCATGTCTGTCAAGAAACCTGGGACCGCCGGGCGGTGGTGGCGTAGCCGGGCGGTGGTGGCGCACGCCTTTAATCCCAGCACTCGGGAGGCAGAGGCAGGCGGATCTCTGTGAGTTCGTGACCAGCCTGGTCTACAAGAGCTAGTTCCAGGACAGGCTCCAAAGCCACAGAGAAACCCTGTCTTGAAAAACCAAAAAAAAAAAAAAAAAAAAAAAAAAAAAAAAGAAACCTGGGACCTCTGGTTCTCATGAGTCTGATTCTTCCAGAGACAGGTCTTGGATCTAAAAGACGATGCATTTTTCAGTCTCCCATGGGCATAGGTGAGTCAACCCGTTTTTGCTCTTACATAGTCAGATCCAGAGAGAGATTGTAGTGGGCAACTTCCCTGGACCAGGTTGTCCCAAAGATCTGAAAATTCTCCAGCCAGCCCTGTTTGATGAGACACTAAATGCTGATCTCCTGCTCTTCATCAGAGGTTTCCTGGGACCACACTCTAACAACGTATACTCTAACCAAACCTCCTCCCAGCCTCTAAAACTAAAATAAGTTCTAAAAGCGCCACTGAGGGACTGCAGCAAGACAGACCTTGATTTCCAGAGCATCGGCTTTGAAGGACTGACTTTGTACATCAGAGGTTACATCTTGGCTACCAGCTGAGGGGAGGCAAAAGGAGCCGGTCTCAGAGTAGGATTGCCATCCTTCAGATCCCAGCTCCAAAGCATAAGAGGCAGGTTCAAGAGTCCCTACATGTGGCTGGGTATTGCTGCCTCTGGGTACCAGAGTTTGCTGAAATAGCAAGGCCTCTAAACAGCAGCACAAAGGGTGGGGGCACTGAGCCCCTAATCTGGACTGAGACTAAACAAAAAAGCATTCGAGGCCTTAAAAGTAGCTCTGACTGACTCCTGCCCAGCATTTCCAGATGTCTCAAAACCTTTGCATGTGTTTGTCCATGAAACAAAGACATTACAAAGAGGGGTTTTAACCCAAAATCTGGGATCATGGGCGTGCCCTGTGGCATACCTGTCCAAAGGATTAGCCCCTGTAACCACAGGATGGCCCACCTGTCTAAGTGCTGTGGTGACTACCGCTGATCTAAGGAAACAAGTGAACTCTGGTCAGGATCTTATACACACAGCGCCCCACACTGTTGAGGCTCAGGTGTCTGAGGAACACCAGAACACTGGCTGTCTAATGCCTATGTGGCCAGGTCCCAGGCTGTACTTCTGGTTCACCCTTGTCTTAATTAGACCAAGGCGATTTTTATAAAGGAAAACATTTAACTGGGGCTGGCTTGCAATTTCAGAGATTTAGTCCATTACTGTCTCGGTGGGAAACATGGACATATGCCGGTAGACATGGTGCTGGAGCCCCACAGGCAGGAGAAGCAACTGTGTGCCACACTGAGCTTAGCTTGAACAAAGGAGAGCTCAGAGCCCGCCCCCACAGTGAAGCACTTGATGTAGGTGGGTCTTCTGTTTTGTGTTGATTTCATTGGTTAAATAAAGAAACTGCCTTGGCTCTTTGATAGGACAGAAAATAGGTAGGCGGAGTAAACAGAACTGAATGCTGGTAGGAAGAAGGCCATGATTCTCCAACCCAAGACAGACGTAGGCTAGAATCCTTCCTGGTGAGCCACCACCTCATGGTGCTACAAAGATTATTAGAAATGGGTTAAGCAAGATATGAGAGTTAGCCAAGAAGAGGCTAGATATAATGGGCCAAGCAGTGTTTAAAAGAATACAATTTGTGTGTTGTTACTTCGGGTGTAAAGCTAACCATACAGGAGCTGGGGGGAGGGGATGAAAAGCAGGCCCTCCTGCACCTGCTTGCCCCATCACTACAAGCACTCCTTCCAACAAGGCCACCTGCTCTAACAAGGTCACACCTCCTAATAGTGCTGCTCCCTGTGGGGGCCATTTTCTTTCAGACCACCACAACCCTCAAGTCCGGCTTGAGAAGCCCACTGCCATCCTGCCTGCTAGTGACCCACAGGTGCTCATCCATGAATGTCTCAGAGAGGAGAAAAATGAAACCAGGTACGTGGGGGCTGCCATAGTACTTTAACTGAAACGATTTTGTCACAAGCCAGGCACTTCAACCTGGAGAGCAGAATGGATCGATCAGACCCAGGCTCTCAGACTGGGAGAAGGAAAGTCCACCACCGTACACACAGGCAGTCGTTATGCTCTACTACTGCGCATGTCCATGGTGCGATCTATAGAAAGAGAGGGCTTCTCACCACTTGGGAGAAGGACATTAAAAACAGGGATTCTCTGTAGCATAGTCGTCTGTCCTGGAACTCCCTCTGTAGATCAGGCTGGCCTTGAACTCACAGAGATCCACCTGCCTCTGCCTCCCAAGTGCTGGGATTAAAGCTGTGTGCCAGCACAACCCAGCTAGATTTTTAAAAATCTAATTATTATATATACAGTATCCTATCTGCATCCATGCCTGTGTTGTGCCCTTATTGCGAGATCCCAAACAAGTCCACCACAGAGCAGGTATCCAATGCAAACACATAGGGGTTTATTGAAACAAATCTTGATTTGGGCAGCAACTCAGCACTTGAGAGACTGAGAGCAGCCTTGAGCATTTACAGGCTAGGATTTATAAAGGGAAAACCACAAGTGGGTCACAAGCCCTGTAGGAAAGTCTTGGGGTAGTTGACTTTTAACCTGATTGGTTGTGGTGAGGGGAAGTACAGAACTGAAGAGTAAAGTAGTTAAAAATACATCAGGCGTGGTTAGTGGCTGCCATCAATCATACCCTCATCATTCAAACCCAGGGTGGAGTTCTTCTCCTTTAGGGAACTTGGAAGAACTTGGGATCATGGAGAGGGCATAAGAGGGGTGGTCTTAGTTTAGTTCAAATTTAACCTTCACACCTGCAGGCCAGAAAAGGCAACAAATCACATTACAGATGGTTGTGAGCTCCCATGTGGGTGCTGGGAATTGAACTCATACCTCTGGAAGAACAGCCAGTGCTCTTAACTTCTGAGCCTTCTCTTCAGTCCGTTTTTACAGTTTTTTAAAACCATATCCAGTAAACTTACAAATTTCAAGGCACAGAAAGTTTATATAAGTCTTTTAAATTGAGATAAATTTATATTTTAGCAGAAGTTTGAGAGTTAAATAAGACCAAGAAAAGGAGCGTGAGAGAAGCAGCAGTCATTCCTATTGCAGCAGTCTCTCTTCAGCTGTTTTAAAGCACCCAGTGTACTACTCCTCCTGGGCTGCTGGCTTTCCTTTCCCTGTCAAGAGGCAGGAGACCTGTCTGCTCCAAGATAGAGATTTAGGAGAAAACTTTTAAACAGGTATGCTTGGGTCAGGAGAGAAGGGCCATAACCCAACTCCAGAGCCAGCTTTTAATAAAGCAGAACGGCATAAAACAATACTTCAATATTATCTATTCCCAAGATGCCTTGTTGTGAGATATTTGTTTACACTATTCAAAGGTGTGTATTCGTGATTGGTTTAACAAAGAGCTGAATGGCCAATAGCTATGCAGGAGAGAATAGGCGAGACTTCCTGGGAAAGAGAAGAACTCAGGAAGAATCTAGGTGCTTGAGAGATGCCAGCAAGATGTGGAGAGAGTCAGACATACAGAACGGAAGAGAGGTAAAAAGTCAAGTGGTAGAATATAGATTAATAGAAACAGGTAAATTTAAGTTAGAAAAGTTAGTTGGGAACAAGCCTCAGGTAAAGGTCAAACTTTCATAATAATAAATCTCTGTGCATATTGTTTGGGAGCTGGCAGCCTGACAAAGTCTAATTACACCTGAATCCCTGAAAACTGAATCCACTGACCAGAGCAAGCAGAAAATAAAGCTCAGAGATAACAATTTGTGGAAAACCCACAGGACTTAACAGCAGGTTCAATGAACCAGTGACAGGGGCAGAGACAGAACTGAACAAGACGGCAGTGGTGTTGGCAGAGGGGCAGTGGGAGGCACCAGGAGCAGTCAGCCTTGTGGAAATCCTGAAAAAACAGTGCTGCATGCAAGGGTCTTAGCCATGCTTGGTCCAGCTCCCATGTCTGAAACAAAACTTAAGCACACCAGAAAGCATAAATCCATCAGACAAAAGCAAACAATGTTCACATGGAGACTAGACAGACATGTGGTGGCCACCTTCACTCATCTGTACCAGAACCTGGGGGGGGGGGACAGGAAGGCGTCTCCCATTCTGTCCCTGCAGACTGGGTCTATGATCACATCTCAGCTCCTGTGTTTCCCCAGATGTCAGGACTTTCAGACCACAACTCACGAATTGGCCTGCGTTTTAAAACACATTGACCAGCAAATTTTACTTTTTTGTTTGTTTCCAAGACAGGGTTTCTCTATGTAGCCCAGACTGGCCTCAAACTCACAAAGATCCACCTGCCTCTGCCTCCAGAGTGCTGGGAATTCAAATTTGCAGTAGTCACAGTCTGGGAGTCCTGGGGCCTCCAGGTCCACAATGTGCTTGCCCCCATTTAGGGCTTGTTCACCCTAGGGTCTCCGCATGGCGGTTCTTTCCCGATTAGGGTTTGTCTCCGAGTAGTGACTCCTTAATTTGGGGCAGCCACCATCTTGGGCTTCCCCAAGCTTCCAAGTCCACCTTGGACTTGCCCCCACTTAGGGACTATCCCAAGACTCCTATCCCTGAGTCTGGGGTATCCCAGGGATCCTGGATGAGTTCCCCAAATGTCATGGAGCTTGAGACCTTCAGGAAAAGACCACGGACTCAATCTGGATCATAATTCAATTTATTGATACTGCTAGCAGGACAGCAGTCTCTGAGCCAGACTAGAGACTGCTGGGTGAAGGGGGTGAGGGGAGGATTCTTTTTTTTTTAAATATTTATTTATTTATTATGTATACAATATTCTGTCTGTATGCCTGAAGGCCAGAAGAGGGTGCCAGACCTCTTTACAGATGGTTGTGAGCCACCATGTGGTTGCTGGGAATTGAACTCAGGACCTTTAGAAGAGCAGGCAATGCTCTTAACCACTGAGCCATCTCTCCAGCCCCAAGGGGAGGATTCTTAAGGCAAAACCCACAAGACAACCTTGAGTATCTGCACACGCACTCCAGGAGCCGTTCTGCTCTGCCAAAATTAGGTAGCCAAGGAGAACTCAAATAGTCCTCGCATGTCTGCATAAGCAGGTCACAGAAGCCAAAGAGCAGTTAGTCATATCATGATGCGTAGATGTCACGGCTGTGCACTTTTGGGTGGAGGTCACTGCGTCAGGGTTACTGGGAACTTATCTTCAGGGACTGGAGTCAGAGACAGTTGGCTGGTGGGTACCAAGATGGATACCTAGCACAAAACGGAGTTTCTTTAGCCATCAAACTATCAGTGCCGCCTGGGCCTTTAATTCTCGTTCTGATTGGATTAATGGTGGGCTCCTGTATCTTAAACTGGCCAATTATGTATAATTAGGTAAAATTAATGGTCCTTAGGACCAACTATACTTCTTACAGCGGGATAAGTCCATGATTTGACTCATTCACTAAGACCAGTGGGGAATGTAACATGACTCCAGACCTTAGTGGGCCCCCAAACCTTAGCACAGCTGACTCCATGATGAAAGCACCACTCAGGCCGCACAACTCAGCACATAGACATCACTGGTTGACAAAAACAAAAACAAAGACATAATCCATCAAAGGCTATAGTTCTGGGAAAGCTTCTAAATGCACTCACCGTGCTTTTTTACTTCTGTGGGTCCGCTTCTAGGTAACCATTCTTGTTAACTGAAGCATGTCCACTCAGGATATGGTTTTTGTGCTGAAAAGCTTACCCTGAGAAATTCTTGGTGCTAAACCGGATGTAGGTGCCAGCCAGCTAACAAAGACTTTCTTTTGGCTTAAACCCATGTCCTAGTCTTCTCTGGTGGACACCCCACAAATGGAGGCCTGATGTCCAAGATAACCTAAGGAGGTGCTATCAAAGGAGGGAGAGGTGATAGGGAGGTGACAGGTTCAAAAGAAGTAGTGGGTGCCAAGGTCTTGAGATATGGGAAGAGTGTCGCCAGTTACCTGGACCTGAGAGAGCAGGCAGGCAGGAGTGTGGTAAGCAAGGGTCAGACAGTCCTAAAGCCACTCCAGAACTCGGATTCATTCTAACTGTACTGGGAGGCACTGAAACTCTTGAAGGGGAGGGATATATTTTAATTTACACACACACACACAAGCGCGCGCACACACACTGTTTTGCCTGTTTGTATACCACTTGCATGCCTGGGCCTACGGAATGCAGGAAAGGGGGACAGATGCTCTGGAACTGGAGTTACAGTTGGTTGTGAGCTGCCATGTAGGTGCTGAGAATCAAACCATCTCTCCAGCCTGCCTTCATTTTTTTGAAAATGCTGGGGATGGGACCTGAAACCTGGGTCTCAAGTCTGCTGTGTGTGTTTCATTATTGGGCTAAACCTCCAGATCCACCCCCACCCCATCCCATTTTTGAAATGGGGGTCTCACTATTCTTAGCTATTCTAGATCCTGAAAGCTCAAATGACCCTTTTTCCTTCATTTTAAGGTTAGTCTTGGGGCTGCAGGAAAACGCATCAGAAAAGGGAAGGGTTCCTCCTGTGTTTCTGCTGACTGTGAGCCCAGCTCGGTCCCTAGCTTCTTGAGTGACAACATGGCCCCAGTGCTGCCTGCTGCTGTGGTGGGGTTCACCTGTGTATTATGAGGCCTCTACCCATTAGATCCTCCACACAAACTGTCCCAGGCACTGTTACGTGTCCCTTGTTGAGAACAACTGCCGTGAATGGAGAACGCACGGACGATTCCCAGAGTCCCTACTACAGACACTCAACAACTAACCAAACCCTAACCTGGTATCCTAGTAGCTGGGATCAAAAAGGAAGGCGATGTCATGCTGCTGTAGAGGCTCTACCCTCACCCCACCGTACAGCAGGGACGACTTTTCTCAATTACATATTGTACTCTCATGAGCTTGGTCACTGGAGCTTCCTAGGCACTCCTGAGAAACAGTGACCAGCCAGAACCCTGGTCTCATAGCTCTGTCCCCAGTGGAGGAAGATGGCGGCTTCTTGGAGGACATCCCTCCACTGTGGGAACCTGACAGAGCACAGTAAGCAGGTTGGAAACACATTTACTTTTATGAGAAAATAGACATCCAGTAGCAGCAGCAACAGCATCTGCTCACAAAACCATGGCAGCTCCTGCAAGGCAATGTGGAGATCAGTGCAGGTGTCCATGGAGCAGGGGGGTCACTCATGAAGGAAGCCACCGAGTGCACAGCAAACGAAACGTCTAGTCCAATGTGCACAACACAGACACAGCACCAAGTATGGTTTACATGAAAAGAAGAGTTAACAACTGCGACACAAACACCAGACTGGGAAGAGCATCTGCTACAACACAACGGGCTGTGGCTGCAGCCCTCAAAGAGGATTCCACACTCACTGCAGTTTAGCAGAGCAGGGCGGGATATACCCCACAGGGAGTGTATAGGGCATGAGGAGACACAGGTGTCTCTGCACCAGCCAGATAGAAGATGAGGCTCCAGCAGATCGCTGATGTGGCCAAGGTGAGGTGTGGACAGGCCAGCTGGGTGCTAACAGTGCCAAGAATCCTCTGCAGGTCCAGAGCCAAATGACTGCAGGCCCAGCTGCAGAGCAATGCCTCACCTAGGTGTTGGCTGGGAGCTGCCCCATGAAAGCATCAGTCCTAGGGGATTTGAGTCAGGAGAGAGCAATCTACTTGTCTTCCTTGAGAAGGAACCAGGAAAAAGCAAACATTCAACTCTACTGGCACCATGTTCAGAAGGGGTAAGCTGACAGGGAGAGCCATCTCTTAGCCTAAGGGGAAATGTGGCACACAGGCTAGTCTCCTTGTCTGCACTGTGCCTGAGGTCCACACCAGAGGGGACCCCCGCCCAAATCTTCCCTAGAAGCCACAGCGCATCTGTCCCTTGAGTCAGGGTACAAAGCCTTTCTTCCTTGGCCCCAGTCCTTCCTTCCTCCTCTTCAGGGCATCTTGGTGTCCTAACTCATTGGCACGGGAAATGCTTCTGTCTTGATGTCAAACTGGAATGGACCCAAAGGTGAAGGAGTGGAGCCCAAGTGCGCCCTGGAGCTACAGACTTCCAGGAGCTGAAGTTGGCAGCTAGAGTCAAGGCTGACCAATGGTCCTGGGCCCAGTCCAGGGCTACTTCTGACTCTTCTTACAGGGTGGCTCCTAAATTCTCACCTGGTTGGGAGGGACTGAGGGAACGGATGCCAGTGGAGCTCAGAGCTCTTGGTTTGCTTGTTGTCAGACCCTGGCAGTGCTTCTGCTCCAAGTGAGGCTGAGCAGCAGCCACACTGTCAGAATCTTCCCGCAGGACAAGGCCCGCGGCGTGTGGCTGCCTTGCACATCTCAGAAGTTTCTGGCTGCGGTTGAGGATGCTTCTGTAATTAGAATACCAATACAATGCTGGAGTGCTCGTCATTGCCCAGGACACAGCTCAGGACATCTAGAAGGTTCTGAACATTTAGTCTGACCCAGGTGAAGGAAAGAGCTGGTGCTGGGGACTCTCCAGCAGGCTGACAGTGGGCCAGAGCTAATGGTTGCTCGTGAACGATGTGATGTGGCCATCTTAACTTCAGGGTAGGAACAAGTCCAAGTGTCCTGGAGTTACCCCATGGCATCCAAAAGGCCTCCCTGAGCTCATCTTCCTACAGATTTCCAGCTGCCAGTGGATTCTGTGATGACAGCCTCCGGTGCATGACCCCAGTGGGCATCTGCAGTGCCCTGTGGTGGAGGTAGACACTGACTCTCTTGACTTCTCTAAGCTTCTAGCACTAGCAGCCTGGAAAAAAAAAAAAAGAACAGTCTGGGTAAATGAGAAGAGGGCAGTTCCTCATTCACTAGGAGATAGCTAACTGACAGAATGGGGGGGGGGGGGGTTAAGTGCAAGCTGGTTCTGCCAGCTACCCAAAGAAAGCAAAGGGTGCTGAGGGATGTGGGGCTCCAGCCGTGGACCAATACCTAGAGACACACAAGTGCACTCAGCACAAGCAGCAGGTCTGACACCTTCCCACTTCGGCTGGGGCTGCACCCTGACCTCCTCCTGCTGGTTTGGTTGTGTGACTTTTCTCATAATTGCATTTGGGAAAAAAAGAAAAGAATGCCAACAAAGGTTGGAGAGATGGCTCAGGAGTTAAGTGGTGTGGGAGGTCCTTCTGTCTGTGTGTTGATTTTATTGGTTAATGAATAAAGAAACTGCCTTGGCCTGTTGATAGGGCAGAACTTAGGAAGGTGGGGAAAACTGGACTGAATGCTGGGAGAAGGAAGGCGGAGGGAGAGAGAGAGACGCCATGGACCTGACATCAGAGACAGATGTGCTGAAACCTGGTAGGCCACAACCTCGTGGTGATGCATAGATTAATAGAGATGGGTTAAATTAAGATGTAAGAGTCAGCCAATAAGAAGCTAGAGCTAAAGGGCCAGGCAGTGATTTAATTAATATAGTTTCTGTGTGATTATTTCAGTTTTGGGTGTCCAGGACAAACAAGTAGCCTTCTCCTAAAGTTAAGAGCACTGGCTGGCCGGGCGGTGGTGGCGCACGCCTTTAATCCCAGCACTCGGGAGGCAGAGGCAGGCGGATCTCTGTGAGTTCGAGACCAGCCTGGTCTACAGAGCTAGTTCCAGGACAGGCTCCAAAGCCACAGAGAAACCCTGTCTCGAAAAACCAAAAAAAAAAAAAAAAAAAAAAAAAAGAGCACTGGCTGCTCTTCCAGAGGTCCTGAGTTCAATTCCCAGCACCTACAAGGTGACTAACTATAACTCCAGTTTCAGAGGATCCAAGCCCTCTTCTGGCCTCTGTGAATACTGCATGCATGTGGTACACAGGCAAACATGCATGGAAACACCCAAACACAAAGATAAAGGAAATGATAAAACAATGTAAAAGTATGCCAATACACAGGAAGACGTGTGCAATAAAACCACAGGCACGAGCCAACGCCACACTTACGCTCTCTGTCTTTTTTCACTGAGACAGGGTCTTACTATGTAGCCCTGGCTATCCTGGAACTCTTTCTGTACACCAAGCTGGCCTTGAACTCACAGAGATCTGCCTGCCTCTTCCTTCAGAGTGTTGAAATTAAAGGCATGTGTTAAATGTGGGTTTCTCTGTGTAACAAACCTGGATGTCCTGGATCTAGCTGTTGTAGATCAGGCTGGCCTCAAACTCAGAGATCCGCCTGCCTCTGCCTCCTGAGTGTTGGGGTTAAAGTCATGTGCCACCACTGCCTGGCTTTAGCTGATTCTTTAGAGTTGAGCACTGTCAGTCCCATTGCATGGGAGAAACTGAGGCACAAGGTTCAGCAATATATCCAACATCGCAACATCCAGGCAAGGAGACTTCAGCTGAAGGACTCTACCACCTGTTTCCCCTCGGAGATCAAGACACTGGCTTTTAACATGGTTCTTTGGCTATGTTTGGACTAGGCAGCTGAGGCTGGCCTACTCTACCAAAAAACAAAATAAAACAGAAAGCATATAAACAACTTGATTCTTCCCAAGAACCCTGGGCTGAGGTACAGCTAAGTGGCAGAGCACTGGCCTAGCACTCTGGACTCTGTGCTCCATCCCCAGGACCACAAAAGCAAAACAATGATGGTGAACCCACCTGTCTGCTGGAGGGATGGCTGGACTCTGCCACCTAGACACTGCTGCAGGTGTCTTCCAGGGCCAATCTGGGGCGAATATGTGACTACATGGCATTCTGTGTCTGGGCCCTGTTCTATGCATCCTAAAATGTGGGAAAGACATTAAAGAATTATTTGTAACCTGGTCCAGAAGCAGTCCATGTGGCCAGGTTAGGGAGCAGCTCCGTCAGAGTCAGCTCTGTTTCTCTAAGTCAATGGCTCCTTAAGCGTCCACTCAAAGCAACACTTCACACTGCCAATGACAGGGTTATCAGAGTTCTGCACAATCAAATTGAATCGACTCAGACAAGTCAGGCACCCCTTGGGCTGTGTTCGACTGATCTGGGCTATTGTAGATTCTGTGTCCACACTGTCGCTCTCCTGGAACATCAAACTGCAGAAGGCACATTGACTAGCTCCCTGCCACTCATGGTTCCAGACCAGTTCCTGCACCCGGGGATCCCAACATTCTTAGCTGGCCTTTCCTTAGCTCTGAAGGACTAAGCCTATATATGGAAAGTGCGAAGGCACCGCATGCAAGTTCCCTGTGGCTCAAACTCTTCATTTTGCTCATTAAGAATATGGATCAGAAACCAGGTATGGGGTGCAAGCCTACAAATCCCAGAGTTTTGAAGGCTGAAAGAGGAAGTTCATGGTGAGTTCAAGGTCAGCCTGGGCTATAGTTAGTTCTCAGTAGCCTGAGCAACGTATCAAGACACTGTCACAAACAAACCCCAAGGGAGCACTGTGCCAGCTACCTTAACCAATGTTTGATGGCTTATACCTGTCACTCCAGCATTCCAGAGGCGTATAGGCAGGGGCACCAAGAGTTTGAGGTCAGTCCAGGCTACACAGTGAGAGCCAAGACAACCTGGGTTAGAGTGAGGTCCTGTCTCAACCAAACAAAACAAACAGTTGGCAAACAAACCATAGCGGCATGTCACTGTCAAGTTTGGCTAGCACACGGCCACCACCTCATTCTGTGCCATCTATGTAAGGGCTGTGGCAATATGTGGCATAGTTACTATGTGGCTGCAAAGACAAGAACAAGCTGGATAGTGGTGGCACACACCTTTAATCCCAACACTCAGTAGGCAGAGGAAGGCAGATCTCTGTGAGTTTGAGGCCAGCCTGGTCTACAGAGTGAGTTCCAGGATAAGAACAAAATTTGGCCTTTACATAAACTGTTACTAACCCCTGACCTGGACTCATGAGGAACGACACTATGTCACCTGCCTGATGGCCCTCTCGGTGTGGATGAACACACACTATTTTTGGTTCCCCGTCAATACTGAGGAAACTGTGACTCTGCACCCTCAAACCTTCACACACATCCTTAAGGACAGGGTTAGAAGCTGTGACCAGGAAGCTGTCTTACCACCTGCTAACACCCCAGGTTTCCAATGTCCCAGCAGCATGCGGGAAACTCCTCTAACCCAGAACATGCTGCCTGGGTGTGCTATGTATACGTCTATGTATATATCTATATCTGATACCCATTTTCTCAGTTTTGCCTTACTGGATTTCCATATTAGATTAAGGTATCCTCTCCCATGGGGATCAAGTCTGGTACAATACTCCTGGGGTTGCCTGCACGAGGAGAGTGCAGTGTGGGAAGACTCTGCTTCAGCTTGCACTTCCTGACAATGCGCACATCATCAGCAAACCCGGCTAGGCCAGGACAGGAGGCACCAGAGACACTAGTTTCAGCTTGCAGGACAGTTAACCTGGTAGTTGTTATTTTTCTCATCGTTGTGGCAACTGTCTGAAAAAAGCAACCTGAGGATTTTCTTGGCTCCTGGTGTGAAGGGATACAGGCCACGGTGGTGCCGAGTACGACATGGTTGGTCACAGAGCCTGTAACCAGGAAGCACACAGATGAACCCTCAAGTTTTTAAGTCTCTTAAAGTTGGTTTCTTAAGGCTCTGTGTGTATCTCTATTGCTGCTGTGTGCATGCGGGTCAGAGGACAATTCTGAGGAGTTGGCCCTCTGCTGCCACTTTTACATGGGTTCCAGGATTGAACTCAAACCGTCAGGCTTCTGAAGCAAGTGCCTTTACCTGCTGAGCCGTCTCTCTTCAGTTAACTCTCATAGACACACGTCTCCTGAATGATTCTCTATCCAGTCAGGCTAGTAGCCAGATTAACTACAACACCTGGGAAAATATTCCTACCAGGGACCACAACTACCCTGCACCGTTTATCTTCATGGTTTCTTTATCTGTTGACAAACCTATCTCTAGTTTTTGGCTGGGGACCCTTCTTTCAGGACAGAGTCCTCAAAGACTACAGCTATTATTATTATTTTTTAAATGTCTGAATCTCTGCTAGCTTTCCCCCAACTTACCTTCTGGTCAGCAGTCACTTTGCTGTCCTCAAAACACAGACCTCATAAAGCACCTGGGACAGAGGGCAGGCACAACCACATCATCTTGTCCTGGTGACAGGCAGGACGTGGAACTGACCTGAATGGCAGGCTGCCATGGGGCAGGGTCAGTTGTTTCTGAGGGTGTGGAGCCACAAGACCTAATCTACACAATCTGCCACCATGGTAGGGTGCAGGGGTCCACTGCAGCCACTCTGTGTGGATCCAGGCTCCTTGTCTACGATGGTGGCTGGGACAAGGGTACACGGTGCAGTACAGGATCAGGCACTGGGGCTGAGCTCAGAGACTGTTGGCTCAGCCAGAAGAGAGCAATTTCAGGACCACTTCAGTCAGCTGCACAGAGATGAGCAAGCTCTGGTGTAGTCCAAGGGAACCTGGGTCCTCAGAGCTAGTCAGAGTGCTGCCTTGCCCCCAGCAGACTGCATGGGCCGGGCATCCAGAGCCAGGCTCCTTCAAGTGGACTGACAGGTGTAGTGGATGGAGCCAGCAGAGGCCGCAGAGGGAGGCAGTGGCCCTAGCCAATACGGGTGTCACTTTAGCTATAAGTTCTCCGTGACCCAAAGCTGTTCCAAAGATGCCCCTGAGTAGGATGAAGTAGTCTGGAAAATGGCTGGAGCTGCAGTAAGCCCACAGGGAGCACCGTGTTACCACCAAGTGCAGACTCACAGGGCGGAAAGCCTCTGTGGGTTCTCACGTCTGACAGGTGAAATTTCCTTCTGATGACAGAGACACGGCAGCCAGACGAGCCATCAGTAGCATACTGCATGAGAAACCTAGACCAATATCTGATGTTTGACAAAGATCCACAGTTGCAGGCTGCCCTGCTCAGTGCTTCTTCCTCAGATGACGCTTCCGATGCCGGATGAGGCAGGAGCTGTAGGCGAAGGTTTTTCCACATTCCTCGCAGACATAAGGCTTCTCTCCAGTGTGTGTTTTCTGGTGTTTCAGAAGATTGGAGCCACAGTTGAAGGCCTTCCCACACTCCCCACATTTAAAGGGCTTCTCACCAGTATGGATTCTCAGATGTTTGGTGACGTCTGAGCTGTGTCTGAAGGTCTTCCCACACTGGTCACACTTAAAGGGCTTCTCTCCAGTGTGAACTCTCTGGTGGCGGATGTGGTCTGTCTTGTGTTTGAAGATTCGTCCGCATTCACCACACTCATAAGGTTTCTTCCTCTGAAAAGGAATAAACACAGGGACGCCCTCAAAGTCATCTTTAAATGAGGCATCAAAGGCATCAAAGATATGCGCCTCATCTTCGGGACTCAGGACAGGCTGTTTGCGGGGCTTCCGGGGCCTCGCTGACCTCTTGGTTGGCCTTTTTGCCTTGGATGCTTTCTCTCCTTTGACAGTGGCCTTTGGAACCCCTGTTTCCTCCTTTGGGGCCTGGGTCTTCTTTTTCCTGCCTGCAGGCTTTTCCATTGCTGCTCCAGGAAGTGGGAAACACCCTGGAAGCCAGGGAAGGCCGAGGGCTCCCAGACAGCAGCTGCTCTTTCTTTGTGACTTCACTTGGTCAGGGGCAGCTCACCACATCTTGCTTATGAAGCTGCATTTTGGCATCCAGCAGACGGAACCAGAACCGCCGTCCTTTTGCTTCTGGGGACAAAAGCATTGACAACAGGTCAAAGGCAGCTCTCGGGGCTGCAGTCCCTCCACTGGCCTTCCAAATGCTCACTTGATGAGCTGCTCATACTAACGTGGACTTCCCAGAACCCCAGTCTACTTCACTGGTCCATAGCACACTCATCTCTTGGAGTGGTGTTCTCACTGACTCAGCCACTGACCAGGAGACACTCCCTGGCCTGAGGACAAGGCTTTCACTCATCCCGCAGAACTCCTCATCCCGCAGAACTCCGTTTCACCATGGACCAAAGGCCACTATCCACCTCCAAAATGGAACCTTCCCTTCCCTTCCTCATCCTCTCCACCTGCCCACTTTGGGACTGTGCATATACCTTGCAAGAGAAAGAAACTCCACTGCACACAGCCTGCTTCTGTGCCTGAAAACTCAGGGCTGTTCTCATAAACCTCAGCAGCCAGCAAACCCCATCAACACCCCCAAAGGCTGCCCCTTGTGCTGCTGTGTCTTTCTTTATGTGAGAAAGGCTTTTCTTTATCTCTAAACCTGTGCCATCTCTTTTACCCCTGGAGGCCTGAAGGGGTGGGCTATGCTGGGAGTCCCATCGAGCCTCCACGCCTGTCCAAAGCCACAGCTGCCACTTTGGGAGCACACTGTGTTTTGTTCTAAGTATTCGACCGACACCTGCATATATAACCCAGCAGATAAAGGTCTTATCTGGATTCAGAGTCTAAGCTCAGCTAGGCATTTGCCTGCAATGTCTGAACGTCAGCATCTGAAAGTGTTCTGTCTTCTGTGGGACAGCTCAGGAGGAGACATCTGAGAGTCCCTGTCGGACAGCCCCCAGACTCAGTACCAATTCAAACACCATCCCTCCGGTGAGAGGAATCACGAGCGGGGCCTAGGTGTCTTGTGTTTGCTCACCAAGGCGCATCCTCAATGAAAACTGAAAACAGACATTAAAACCAACTGCCCCCTCCCCTCACAGGCCCGTGCACAGGGGTGGGTGCGAGTGATTCAGGCAACTTAGTTCAATGCAGCGGGCCTAACGGCTCAGGTCTATCACAGGGCTGCAGGACCTGGCGGGACTCGGAGCCCAAGTCACCCAGCATCAAGGGGCTTCGCTAGGAAACCCGCCCCATTTTCCCCGCCTCCGGGACCTCCGCAACAACACCGAGTGGCTTGCGGCCCACGGAGAGACGACCCAGAAGCCAATCTTCGCCGGGCCCGGGACACTGAGCGTGCATGCAAAAGGTACCTTGGTGGGTGTCGAGTGCAGACGCCGTGGGCAAGGAGGCGGGTAGGTGGGCAGGCGGGCGGGCGACGGTTACAATCCCCCTTGAGCCCGCCACTCCCGCCTCTCCCGCGCCTGAAGGCGCCCGCCCCTCTGGTGCCGCTCTACCTTCCCCGGCCTCTCGGTGGTGCTGCGGCGCGCTCCACAGCCCCGCCCACCGTTCTCCGCGGTCTCCGGTGCCTCTCTAGGAGTCCTTGCCTGGCTCTCAGTGGTACCGCTGCAGGCCCCTAGCCCCGCCCTCTCATTCACGCCCTCCTGGCGCCACTCTAGGAGCCGTCGCCCGGCTTCTCTGTCGTGCTGCGCTCGGTTTCGTAGACCCGCCCACCTCCCCCAGCCCCTTCGGGGCCACTCTAGGAAACAGGGCCGGACCTCTCGGTGGTGCTGCGGCTGCGGCTTTGCGCAGAGCGTAAGGGGCTGCCAAGAAGATGTCTGCGTCTATGCAGGCTTCTGGACAGCGGGCGGCGCTTTTCTCCCGGCCTTCACCCGTGCGAGCCGCCTCCTCATCTCAGGCTCTAAGCCATCCATATCTTCGGGTTGTTTCTTAGTCTTCGGGCTTGTCACTTGTTCGGCCCACTGTCCATCCACACCGGGACGGCGGATCCCCCGTGTGCACGGCATGTGGCCGCCCTGGACCCGACTGGCTCTCCAGTCAAAGTCTGGTTCAGGCCTCCTCCGCTCTGTCCCTGATCCCTAGCTCCTGGCCTTTATCGCCAGATACTAAAATCTAGTCCCTTCCTGCGTTGTTCCCATTTTCTGGATACATTCTCCCTCACTATATTTTGTCAGGTTGGCTTAGAGCTAGCCATCTGCCTCGGCCTTTCTCGAGCCCCAGGATTATAGGTGTGCCCTATGGCGGCGTTTGGAGATGGTTGCAATTCAAATCAGATACTAGAACCAATTGAGAGCAGCTGTGTGCTTGGCTGAGTCTCCCTGGGGACGCCATTTTGCATGATTGCTATACAATGTTAGGGCCTTCTATCCTGGAGAAGCCGCCCTCTCAGACCTCAAGCGAACCACTGATCTGTCGTCTCCCCCCACCCCTTTCAGATTCAATTGTCAGCATGCTAGACAAATGTGATTGTCCAGTGTGCAGCTTGGGAGCTTGCCTATTATCGCTCGGGAGTCGCTGTCTAGATTCACAGGGGTGGCTGTGTATCGAAAGGTGATCCATTGTGCGCCACGGCTTGTTGGATCCTTTGCCCCATGAAGGCTGTGTCACAAAGTTGCTGTGAAGACCCCGTTCTGGTCCCCCTGGGACCAAGCTTAGGAATGCAGTTGCTAGGTCCTAAACTGCATATTTCCTTTAGTGAGGATCAGCCCGGCTGCTTTCCGGAGAGCCTGTGCCATTTCTCATTCAATCCTACCAGCAGCACAGGGTTTCCTGCCTCATCAGCATTTGGTGAGGGGGCAGGTAGTAGGCATCTCCTTGTTTGTATTTCCCAGAGGGCTAGTGGTCTGTATGCCTCCTGCCACCTGCATATAGCCCCCAGTGACAAGTCTCTAAGGTATCTTTAATGAGGTGGGTTGAGCTGGTTGTGGGTGGACTGTAGACACAGTCCTTTGGTCCTGCTTTATCTGGTTCTCAGGCAGGTTCCCCCACTCCCCCACCCCCACTATGCTCTAAGTTCACTCGTGGAACAGTTTCGTTGTGGAGTGGCTACCCTCTGGAGAATTATCCTCTTCTCTTGTTGGTGGGACTCAATTGCTAGGACCATGGCCTGGGCTCGCTCACGTGGTCCAAGCTTTTCTCTAAGATGGCAGTGAGGTGTCTGCAATGAAGTCCTGGTGTCTGGCCACTGCTTTTGAGGCATCTGTACACATGTCCCCTTTGTTTAGTAACCTGAGGAGGTGCTATCTTCAGTGACTTAGGACTGGAATGTGTCTGTGATCTGGAGAAGTCCTGATAGTGGCCGTTCCCATGGGAACCTGGATACAGAGGAAGTGGGTCACGTTGGCCCTCTCTACAGCATCTGCCTCCCCCATCCCCTGGGTTTTCCAGCCCAGTAAGGAGCAATAAGGCCACCTTAAATGACCACCTTCGGTCCTGAGAGGCAAGGAGGCTCCAGGGAACCCAGAGGAATCAGTTCCCTGGGCTCTGTCCCTGTCAGTGGATCTCAACTCTTGTCCAGCACCAGACAAGGGCAGGAGCAAGTCACCCCAGAGTGGGTATTTGTCACAATGTCACATTTGTGTCTTTTTTGCAATTCTAGAATTTACTGAATAGCAAATTCACAGGCTACATTGGTTTCTTTGTTATTTGTCAAGGGGTCCTGATTTGCCTTGATAGCGACTGCAACAATCACAGCTTCTTTTGTTCCCATTGTAACTACTGACATTCATACCTTATTCTCTGTGAGCATACCTTAAACAGCACACAGTAGTTCTGTCTGGAACTGTAGCCATCATCCCTATCAACTCTTCATCTGTCTATAGGGTAGGTTTCAAAAAGGCTGTAACAGAGTTAAAGAGGCTGGTGCAGACTCCAAAAGGGCCTTAGTGGAGGTGGAGGCAGGAAGCTGCCGGAGATGCAGCATCCCTGATGCATGCAATAACAAGTCCTGTCGGCCAGCTGCTGCTAGAGATCCCAGCAGAGCCAGGTTCCAGAGTTAGAGTTCAGCTGAGCTGCAGGCTGGAATGGAGCTGAGGAAGTGAGATGAGACCAAGATGGTGGAGACAGTAGAGGCAAAGTGCAGAAGTGTGTCCAGATGGGCAAATGGATGGACAGATGGACTTGACAGTCTCAGCAGTGAGGACCACACTGAGTCAAGGTCCTTGGGGGCAGTTGGGTGTTCTTTGCTTGTTGGTTTCTCAACTCAAGTCTATATACAGGGCGGTAAAGCGACAGGTTTGTGGGGGCTGTCTCCATCATATTATTGGATATCCTATCTTTCCTTTCTTTGTGTTTGTGTGAGTATGGGCACATGTGCACCTTGGCATACACACGGAGGTCAAAGGATCACTTTGAGTGTTGGACTCCCCTTCTATCTTGTTTGAGACAGGCTTTCTTTATTGTTTGTTGCTACATATGTAAGACTAGTTGGCTCATAAGCCTTTTGGGGGGGGGTCTCCTGTCATCTCTCCCATCTTGCCATAGAAACACTGGTATTATAGATATCTGGCTGGCCACAGCTCCGGCCCTCATGCGTGTACAACAAAAGCTGTACCCACTAAACCATCTCCCCAGCCCTGGTTTTGTTTTTTATTTTATTGTTTTCATTTTCTGGGACGGTTTCTCTGTGTATCCCTGGCTGTCCTGGAACTCACTCCGTAGACCAGGCTGGCCTTGAACTCAGAGATCCACCTGCCTCTGCCTCCCTGAGTGCTGGATGAAAGGTGTGTGCCACCAAGCCCAGCTTTGTTTCTTAACTTAAAAAAAAAAGGTGTGTGTGCATGCGTGTGTGTTATATGAGCATGTGTGTATGCCCTGTGCACGTGTGCAGGTCAGAGGAAGATGACATCAGGCATCCTATCCTGCCATGTTCTACGTATGCCCTCGAGACAGGGTTTCTCACTGAACCTGGAGCTAGCTGGCAGGAAGCCCTAGTGATTCTCTTGTCCTCCTCTTCATACAGTTCTGGGGTTATGTGCAGCCTTGCCTGGCTTTTTGCTTTTGTCCTGTGGGTTTGAGCTCAGATCCTCATGTTTGCATAGCAAGCAAGCACTTTAACCCTGAACTGTGTCCGCAATCCCAAGAGGGGCTAATTTTGTAGAATTATTTACATATTTTTATTTAATTCTTTTACACCTGGGTTATTAATAAGAATTTTAGTCAAAAGAATAGAGGCTCTGAATCATTTATTCTGCCCCTGGTGGAGATGTGACATTCTATACAGCTCCAAAGAGCACAGCATCGCTCTCTAGCAGGGGCTTTGTGGTAAGAGCTATTGTCCTCTCCCTTCAGCGTTAATCCAAATGGCTCTGCCACTCACCTGGACAGAAAAATGCTCTCAAGAAAGCCAGCTGTTTCAGAAATGTTAAGAAAATCATCTAGACCCAGCAAGAGGGCTCAGCAAGTGAAGGTGCTTGCCACGGAGCCTGGTGCTCTGAGTCCAGCCGTAGGATCTACATGGCAACGGGTCACGCTGAAACAGCACAGGTTTTATTGGAAAGAGCCCTGTGGAGGGCAGAGCTGCAGTGCAGGAAAGCAGAGAGCCCAGCTTCTGCTCCCAAGCTGAGGTAACTACAGGGTAGGAAAGGGAAAGGAGGAAGAAGAATAAAATGTTCCTTTTTAAGCCCACGGTGGGCTGTTGCTAGGGGTTGCTAAGGAAATAAGGCACGTGGTGAGCAACAGAAGATCAGGTGATTAATAAACGTCCCTCATGGCCACCGTCACCCGGGTTGATAGGCTGGGGGCACCACGAATCAAGAGAAACAAGTCAGTGGGAAGAAAATTACTTTAATTTCAGGAATTGCTGCTGTTTAATCAAAATGGAGGAGCTTTACAAAATGACATGGCCGTGGCTGGCAGGTCCCACTATCAGAGTCTCTGCTGTGGAAGAAATCTCTGGGGTGGGAGCCACCAAGGGCTCTGAGGGGGTGACTAAGAGTTCCTACAAGTGAGGTGCTTAGGGTGACTGGGGGCTCCATGCTGAATCCTAATAGCAAACATTCGAGCTCTGATGGGTGCTGGGTCTGAATGTGCTTTGATTTGTGGGAACCTCCCTGAACACTGAGAGGCAATGGCAGTGGTGGTTAGATAAGGAGGTAGGACAACATGTGAAAGACATCGCGCTTGTCCCAGGGTTAGGCACCCAACCCCTCCAGAGTATATTTTCATATACTAGGAGCAGACATGTTGCTGGAGTCCACTTGCTGTAGCTTAGCTATTTGCTGTGGATAGCTATTTCCTCTGAATTGGAACTTCCCTTCCCCAAAAGGGTAGGAAGGCTTTTAAGACTCAGGCAGGAAACAAAATATGTAAGATTTACAAGGCCCTGCTCGAGGTTACAAAAGCAGTAAATAATTGCCGTGAGAGGAGACTTTTCACCAGGCCAAGCTACCTGCCAGTTGGGCAGAGAGCTCTAGAGATGCAGTGTTTGTTTGTGACCCGTCTCTATGCAGTGTTCGTGACCCATCTCTATGCAGTGTTTGTGAGCCATCTCTTGTGTCAGAGTGGAATTTTTGGTGACGCAACTCCCTTTGAATTACCCATGTTTCCACAAGTAACCCCAGACAGCTGACTGGTTCACTAATTAGATGTGGAGGGCTTCTTTCTTTGGTCTGTCATTGG